TATAAAGGTAAGGAATTTGAACATTAAAACTAGCTTCGGAAAATAGTCTTGAAGCGAGATCCAGTCCCCAATTTAACTTTAGAACTCGCATCGATTAATAATTAATCCTCGATATTGAACATCTATACGTCATCTGGGAATGTTCGATTTTATAGTCAACTTTATTGGCCGCACATTACGTGGCAGGATTAGACCGATAGTTCTGGTCAACCGGTATTTTTTTTAAAGAAAAATTTGGTAACTGCTGGGCTTTGCCTCTGGTGCTTCCTTTCTGAAACCAATATACTCACTTATCATATAAAAAGCCTCTTGCATTAAACCCACTTTTGGTATGGTTGAGAAGCTTAGTGAAATAGTTGCCATATTTATCACCTTCCTTTTTCTTGTGTCGAACCATCCAAAACTGTCCGAACGAAGAATATGCGGGAAATAATACAGTTTCCAGCAGACTAATCAGAATCATTGAAATTTTTTGTAAGACGCAGGATGGGAAATTTTTTATGAAAAAATTAGGGGAGGTAGAATGGGCCTCTAGACAAAGTATGTATTAAAGCACAAAGTTAGATGTTTTCTCCTCAAAATTCCATGAGGGAAACGAAACACACGACGGGAGGTTACGACGAGGGGTTAGAGGACATATGCAGATTCGCCTTCAATTCAGAGGATAGGCAAAAGCGGTCACCCACGAGTTGAAAAAGTTGTATCAAAGCACCAAGATGGATGGGCTTCTGGACAAGGTATGAATTAGTGTTTTCTCTTCGAAATTCCACAAAGAAAGCAAATCACACCACGAGAGGTCTGAAAATCAATTCCTGAACACTGGAAAAAAAACACATTGGATCTAGAGTCCAGACTCTTAAAAACATCGACAAGAAAAAGTACTCTTGATTCAATCAGAATCTAGCTTAAATCAAGAACCAAGCTTCTTAATTTAAGCAGATTTTGATTCAAGCAAAAATTCGATCGAATCAAGAGTATTTTTTCTTGTCAATGTTTTCAAGAGTCTGGACTCTAGATCCAATGTGTTTTTTTCCAGTGAACAAAATATAGTTGTCCTATATTAACATTGGTTAAAAGGCAAAAATACAAATGTCGTCATTAGTATATAGTCGAGCTTCCATTTGGTCTGTGTTTAAAAGATTTGCTAAAAACTCATTAGAGTTGATTATAAAACTTCTCGTTCTGTGCATAGTTGGCCCTCGCCCAAAATGGACTTTTCCGTGGACAAATCTGGCAACGAAGGTGCTGATAACAGTGAAAGCTGGATTTGAGCTTAAAAAGCTGCAACCATCCCAACTCCAAGTTAAGAGACTGAGTTCTAAGAGACGAGGCGCGCGGTGCCACTAAGGCTTACGTTGAGGACAGATCGGGAAGCAAAATGCCGCACGCGGTAAGTCCGATTTCTCGTTAAGAAATTCCACGAATTTGATAATGCGAAATCGTTGACCATCGCGACATCGAAGGTGCGACAACTGTCTCCAAAGGCCTGGGAGTGTTGAAAGCTCTCAAAGAGACTTTAAACGTTATTATATGCCGGGAAGAGTGTTCGAAACTCACCTTTGAGTTTCAGTCCCATGTGGCTCATCAAGCTCAATTTTTAGAGCCCATTGAAGATTTTTTAGGGGCCAAATTGATTTTTTGCCTGTATGTCACGCCGCATTTAGTGAAAAGTTAGACTCAAGATGTTGTAGGTGCAAAAATAGTAGCTGTGACTTGAGGAGGAGAAAAGCTCCAAAAATCACCAAATAGAAAATTTAGGATTTTTTTGGGGAGATAAGGGATTTTTAGGGGCCACGGTGGTGCAGAGTCTTCATTTTTTAGGCTCCATGACCGATTTCTTGGGCGTATTTGGCATTTAGGCTCATATGAGTTTCGAAAACTGGCTGTCAAATTCCTGGAAGAATAATAGTCTTATTTTTATCGAAAAATTGTTTTCATATATATTTCTTTTCATGTTTCGAATTTTCATTTTACTCAGAATGTAGAAAGGTTTAAAAACAGTATTCTTCAAAATCTACAAGCGAAAATTTCAGCTATATTTTTCGAAGAGTTTCGTAATGCAGGATTTGAAAACTCTTTTTCCTTAGATTTTTTTAATAACACAAGTGAAACAATACTGTGACGGTTGCTTAATAATACTTGACACATAAAGTTCAAGAATATGATATGCACTCAAACATTGGTCTTCTCCCCTGCTGACGAGAGCCACCATGTGGCCAGTGACGTACTTTGCGATGTATCGATTGAGCTGTCATTTAAACCTTTGCAAAGGATCGATAAACAGGATATTCGCGACGAACATCTTAGTAATCGATTCTTTACCACAGCTTCAAAGGTTGAGGTACCGATAATCGATCATTCACGCCTCGCCATTGTATGTAGCGTAGCATGGCACTAGCTTTTCTCAATCGGGACATTCAGCATTTCCAACCCCTTTTCGGTCTTTTATTGACCAAACTTTGCCACCCCTCGACGGGATCCGATCTCACCCCCACTGTATTTCATTTCAAGGTCATGGCGTGTCGACCTAAATTTCAATGACATGTGATATGGGTTTGAAAAAACCATTCTCCTCTCACGCATACACTTTATATTTTCAGAGAAAACTATAAATGCGGTTGCAAATCACTTTTGTGCCAGGAAACTTGAAAGTTTCCCTTTTCCTTGTTCCTCATGTATTTTTTAAGATACTTTGAACGAGTTTCATACCACAATTAGACGCATTTCTGCCAAACGGAACTATGTGCGTTCTGACGTGAGCCCTGTTATGCATATATTCATTTGGGTCTCACGGCTCATGTCTTGATGCACATACTTCCGTTTGGCAGAAATACGTAAAATTCGTCTTTCCCGGACGAAGAAACGCAACTCCATTCCTAGCATTGACGGATCCAGCAATTTGGCAACACCGGATTTCCTTCATTTAAACCTGAGGAAATGTATCGATTCTCGGAGGGGCCAAGTGCTCCGGCAAGATTCGATTATTTAGCATGGGTTTAAATGGAGGAAATGCGGTATTGCCAAATTGCTAGATCCGCATCTGATTCCTAGACAGCGGAATCAGCTCGAACAATTAAAAATTTAACGGGAATGAACCCGTATAGTTTTCGTCCGAAAATTGTCTGATTTTTGCATTAAATTAGAAGAAAAATCAGTGCAATTTACGGTTAGAAATTCCCAAATTCAATTTGAGGGAAGCAATTTGGCAACATTGAAATGCAGTTACGACCTTTTGCGAGGGAAACGACCGATTGACATTTAGTTTTATCAACTATTTCGGCGGTAAATGTGTGACCAAATGACCTATTACACGCGCCGCAAAATAAAACCGCACAAGAGCAAAGGACGAAGGGCCGGACCGAGAGTGTTTGGAGGGGGGAGGGTCACCGAGGGGGGGGGGTGAAAAGGGATTAAAAGGAGCACTTACTCCGACGATTACGACGACGCCAGTTACTCTCTACCTGAGATTTATCCTCACTTTTTATTCGTTTTATATCTCTCGTCTTTTTCACAGGAGTGAAACAAGAGTTATAAAAAGCTATTTATGACTCCTTTTTTTATTACTTTGTAAGAGGGGGAAGCATAAAGTGTAATCGGGCTCTGTGTCGGAGTCATCTGCGACCTTGAACGCGTGGGAGTCCCGAAAGATGATAAAAATCATGATAAAATCAAAGGTCGCGGTGCGAGATACTCGTGAGTTGCACTACATTTTGTGATTAGGAACTACTATTTCAGGTCCATTCATAAAATCACCTATGTCCGCAGGGAATCTATCGGCACATATGATGTTCCTAAAATGAGCTGAAAATGGTAGTTCCACCGTCGCAAAATGTAATCGAACGGGCTGATTGTTGAAATTGATACCCTGGTAAAAATTGGCGATGAGAGCTGCGTTTCAAAATACCATAGGAATTCTTAAAGCCGGCTAAAGAAGGCTACAGAAAATCATATAGCTGGCTGTAGAATGCGGAGAAAATCATACGGCCGGGCTATACGAAGCGATAAAAAATTATGCAGCCGGGCTATAGTTCCTATCGCCGGGCTTTGCATTTTATCGCCTGGCTGTTGCTTTTTCGCCATCGATTATAAAAGGCTATAAGAAATTGTGTAGAAATTCGAGTGCTTTGGAAATCATTAAGGTTGATACGGAACCACCTGAATATTTACAAAACACACATTATATTTTCCTTAAATACATATTTTTGCTCATCAATTAAAATGAGAATAATCCATACAGGATGTGCAAACATTTCAAAATCATTAGTTGAAAAACGCTGACTCCGCAAGATTAAATATTAGAGCCTAATACAAAGCGGAGCGGCGACGCACTGGCNCGAGAATAATCCATACAGGATGCGCAAACATTTCAAAAGCGTGAGTTGAATTACGCTGACTCCGCTAGATTAAATATTAGAGCCTAACACAAAGTGGAGCGGCGACGCACTGGCGCCTACAAACCTAACAGGGATACCTCACGCATTGCGCAACGCGTGAAGTATCCCCGTTGGGTTTGTAGGCGCCAATGCGTGTTTCGCACTGGCTGCCCGCCTGCCACGGCGCTTGAAGCAACTATTTCACACCAGAGGTATTGCACAGTATCATACGAGACTGAAGGCGCTCTAATATATTAGTAATGGCTGGCATCCATCAAAAGTACGGAGCTTTTCTCGCAAAATAAATCAAGATAGTACGGCCCAAAAAGAGAGCAGTATTCCAAAAACTCACTAAGTCCTAGCATCCGTAATTAGTAACGTTTAGCATACACTTTATCGCCTGGCTGTTGCTTAGTCGCCATCGGCTATGAAAGGCTATAAGAAATTGTGTAGCCGGCTATAGAAGCTATTGGAAATCTTACAGCCGGCTGTAGGTCTATTGTATTTTAGAACACAGATTCTACTGCCAATTTTTACCAGGGACTGGACACAGTACCTGTATTTACATATTTTTTCTCCGAAATATTACGTAAATTATAACAAAATTTTCACTATCTTTTATTTCAGGTGAAGGAGATCCTTTTGCCGATTTCGAGGAGTCAAGCGAGAAGGAGAGTGGTATCGGAGAGCCTGAGGAATCCACAAAAACCGCCACATTAGCAGAGTTTTCGGACGAAGATGATATGGGTACGAACATCAGCAAAGGATTGAAAGACCGCAGATCCAGGTCCAGCACGAGCCTGTATAAGGCCAAGAACCTACGGCCGGGAAAGCTTTTTACCCCTAATCGAATCACCCGCCAGGAAAGGTAAGTTTAGTCCTGTAATTTCTTTGATGTTACATGAGTATGTTTCACAAAGGGCTCTACGAACCCTAGAACTGTCACTGCATATTAGCTACCCTCAAGAGACGCTATCTTTTGTTGCACTGCATTTTTTTCCACCGTGAGATGGAGGCAAATGGACGTTCTGTTTAAAAAAAAAATAAATAAAATAAAATAAAACATTTTCCCGAGAGTATATCTCTAATTTTGTCGTCTTCCTGTGATACAATAGACAGCACCTTTAATTAGTCGAGTTAAGACTAAAAGAGAAACCGAACACAGAATTTGACCTGAAACGGCGCGGCGCAGAGAGCATAATGATGACGAGAACTTGAGATGAACAGGAGCACATATCCTACAAGACTGCATGAATACTTCACGCATTGCGTCAAAGAGACAGTGCGGTCGCTGCGGTCAGCAGCGGGCGGCGTGAAACGCATAGCGCCTACAAGGCTGCATGAATACTTCACGCATTGCGCCAAACATAGTACGGTCAGCGCGGCGCGGTGGCGGAAGTTAAAATTATTAAAGCACATTTATGTTTGTTCTTTCATAATATTTTCGTTCATTTCATGTAAATGGAAGGTCTTGTACACACAGAGATAGGTTTACGGAACTTAATTTTTGCGCCAAGTTACGTGAATTTTTGCTAAGAGTGTTGACAGGGCTTTCGCAAAAAATGTGTCCAACACAAGTAAACGTGTCTTATGCACCCCTCTCCCTCCATCACGTTCACATGATGGTTTTTGTTGATGTTTCAAACTAATTGAGAAGGGGGCGGCAAAATACAGGCAGCCCAAGGGCGGCAAGCAAGTGAATCCGGTCCTGAACGGCTTCCATGTGATCGACTATTCATATTGAGCTCCGAAGTTCCTTCATTAGATCCGGGCGATAACTATTCAAACACAGCTACGGTGGGGTGGCTTACTCACTCATTTGAAGGCGTTTTCGCATATCAGGTTTTTTTTATCAACGGCTCCCATGTGATCGACTATTCATTTTGAGCTCAGAAGCTCCTTCATCATATCCGAGCGATAACTATTCAAACACAATTACGGTGGGGTGGCATACTCACTCTTTTGAAGGCGTTTTTACATTTAATGTTTTTTTTTTTTTTTTCTTTGTTTTATCAACGGCTCTTCTGTGATTGTCCATATCTATAAGTTTCAAGCGGAACTATTCAGTCGAGCTCAGAACAAACAGAAAACAAGATCAGCAATTTGAATCGCGGGTCGAGTTGCATTCCCTACTTTTATGAGTCGTCTCTGATTAGCTGATCCGCCGAGTGCCCACTTAATGGGGACTTGTGGAAAATAACTGGCGGTTCATTAATCATCAAAATTGAAGGAAATCATGAAAAAAAAGAAGAAAAAAAAATTATGCGTCGGAGATTTCTGAAATCAATTCTTCTAATTATTCTGCAGAGATTGATGAATAGGTAATGCATGACACTTTTTCTTCTCAAAAACACCGAACACGAAGAGCTGAAATTTTTTTCGTTAAATTGAAATACTATACTTTGTGTCATGAAATAAGGAAATTCCAGGTCGAATTGTTCGGTGTTTATGAGGAAAAATGAACCCCGCGTTATTTTCCACAAGGGCCCCAAAAAGTGAGCATCAGACGGATCAGCCAGTCAGAGGCGACTCGTTGAAGAAGGGGATGCTATACTCGGCCCGCAACTTAAATTGCTGATTTTATTTTCTCTTTGGCTCAGAAGCTCCTTCATCAGATCAAAGCGATAACTATTCTAACACAACCGCGGTGGGGTTGCATACGCTCAATTTTGAAGGCGATTTTTATTTCTCATGTTTTCTCGATCAACGCTGTCCCCGTGTGATCTAGAGTACCTGTAGGGAGAATAAAGACTTATTGACAAATTTGAGGCTAAGGCATAGAGCTTTTATGGCCCCAAAGGGCAGCCAATCCATGAATTCAAATTATCCAGAGTGATCTATTTATCAATTATCCAATTATCCATTTATCACAACAATTGTAATGGACCGTCGTTTATGAAGCAAGTATTTAACTGAGTTCTTGCATTTTACTCATTTTTCGAAGAACGCTCATTCATGGACACACTAAGCTTTCTTGGTTTCAATTTGGAATCTGAAGATTGGCAGCAACATTTTTTGTGTTAGGAGCTTTCCTGCCCTTTTGAGCCCTAATAGATCCATATTTCAACATTTCCATACTTTCCCTGGGCACTCTAGTGTGATCAGTGATCACCTGCATCTCTAAGTTCCTAAGAAGAATTCAAAGCATGAACTCAGAAGCTCCTTCATCAGATCCTAGCGGTAACTATTCAAACACAACCACGGTGGGGTTGCATATTCACTCTTTTGAAGGCGATTTTTACATCTCGTATTTTTCCTATTACGTTACAGGTATAAGCTCAGCGGGTCGCTGCCGAATTTCCTGGACATAAAATCTCCGGGAGCGGGCGGGGACTTCCGGGAGCGCGAGATCTACGCGGACAACAACAATGAGACGAAGGAGAAGATGCTGGACATCGGGCGCTTCGAGAAGTACGAGGAGGGCCTCAACAACTACAGCCTGGTCTTCGCCGAGAAGCCGCGATCCACGCCACCGCCCCCGCCGCCCGAGGACAAGGAGAACGGGCCCGTCGCCCCCAAACGGAGGCTCTCCTCAAAGCGAGCTAGTCATAATAAATCCATTTGCATCGATGGTAAGTTGAACATATTTGAATCAGTGAGTTCGAAAACACACCAACTCGGGGTTTTTTTCGATTTTCACTTTTTTACGGTTTTTAGTAACACTTATGTATAGAAGCATCTGCACGCCAAAGTAAATTTCGAAATTGCAATCGGAAGTGCTCGAAACAGCGACGGGAAAAGGGAAAAATCGAAGTATTTCATTGGAAATACCAATTTTTAGCCATTTCAAGGGAAACGGGTGACCATCCGATACTGCGGTTTTCTTTTTTCGGTTCAGTATACCTTATACCAACAATTAATATAAAGATTCAAGCGTTATTCGGGTCGAAAAATATAAATTTTCCAGGGCAGACTATGAAAAATCAGTGTCTGAAAGTCGGTGAGAACGAAAACACACCAACTCGGAAATTTTAAAACGCTTAATTCTCTGTCATCAAACATGGTGTATCGATTTCAACTTGGTGATTTACAAAGTCTCTAAGTACTTGTCCTTAGGCACCAAAAAGGTTTCTTTTAAACTAACTTCTTCGCCCGCTGCGCAGTTTTAGGTGTTTCCTGAACAATTTTTTTCCGAGTTGGTGTGTTTTCGAACTCACTGATTCATTTATGCTAAAAGGAACTATGTGCATAGTGACTGCGTGTAACATAATTGCTTTTAGCATAAATGCGTCCAGTTAACGTTTAAAATATTTGAACTGGAAAACTGGGAAAGGCAGGGAATTCATCGAAGTGGGTTTAGCAAAAGGGAGTGTGATTTAAAGAAGAAAAAATCAAATTTGAAGTTTTATTCAAATGTCAGAGAAAGTCAGGGAATTCGAAAGTTTTCCTGTCAGGGAAAGTCACGGAATTTGAATATGAAGAAATTACACTGGAGAAAAAAGTCACTTGAATCTAGTGTCCAGACTCTTAATAACATTGGCAAGAAAATATACTTTTGATTCAATCCGATTGATTCAGAGCCGAGTCTGTTGATTTAGGCGGATTTCCTTTTGATTCAAGCAAAAAATCCGATTGAATCACGATTATTTTTTCTTGTCATTGTTTTTAAAAGTCTGGACTCTAGAGTCAAGCAACTTCTTTTTTTCCAGTGTATGGCAACCCTGTTGCATGCACCATGTCACGGTCAGATTATTGTATGCACAAATGCAAAATCCAAAAAAATATAAATAAACCAAAGTTGTATATTTTTTCCGGGTGATAAAATACACTAATATACAATAAATAATCAGCAGATGGGTCTACAAGGCCACAGAAAAAACAGAATATAAACACACCCAGGACGTTGCGGGCCATTTACATGCCATTCTGCGTTTTCCGAACAAATTCGTTTCAGCGCGTTTCACAAAGGGGAAAACAGCTGCTGAACATCTCACTCCAACGATTTCGGGTTGAGTTTTCGCTGCTTTGAAGTCCGTCTTGAAGTACAGCCACCAACCGCCCCATCCTTTATGTCCAGCGATGAAGCAGTCGTGCAAGCAACGAAATCGGTGGATCCTAAAACTCAACAAGTCCCTTATTCTAATGAGCTTTGAGTTCCATAAGAGTGCCTTTACCCCCAAGGCTCGCCAGATAACAGACATGTGCGGTTATCACATCGACTGACTCAACGGTCAAAAGAAGCAGCTGTTTCCCTCTTACGGCCCCGAAATCGTTTCTCCACTGGCGTGAGAGCGTATCTATTTTCCTCATGAGCCTCGGAGAGCATGTAGTTATACGGAGAACAGGGTTCATGTGGAAATTTAGATACGCCGTTATGTAAAAGGAGCGAGGAAATGAGGAAAACCACGAGCCATAATGTCTTGCAGCGGCTCTTTCGCCCTCATCAGTGCAGCCGTCTTGCCAACGATTTTGACACCTGTTCGAGAGCTCGAAATCTCACTGGTCATCTCTCGTCCCTCGGACGCGTGGCCATGGCCTCAAATTAATTTCGAGTTTAATCTGGCTATTAATCTAGTATTTTTTCCTCTCCCTTGGGATCCGCGCACAGGGAGTCCCAAAAGTTCCACCCAGTTGCTCATTCCGTTAATCATGCAAATAGTCTGACCAGCTCCAGTGTTTCAGACGCGTGATCTCCTAGATTTACTTACGAAATTGAGTCATACCTATATGTTGTGTTTTCATGAAATCACCGCCTACACTGAAGAAAGTAATATGTTGTTTTAGCACCTGGGATGTCAAAAATGTGTCTGGTAATCCCAAGATGGTGCCTTTACTGCCCCCGCAGTTAATTTTACACCCTGTGAATGCAAATTCAACTGCTTGGACGATCAAGGCAGCATCTCAGGATCACCAGACACATTTTTGATATCTTAGGTGCTAAAACAGCATATCATTTTTTCAGTGTAGCTGACGTAAGGGCGTAACTACACTCTGCAATGAACCCTGTCTTCCATACATTTCAATGCTTTTCCAGGTTCATCTCAATGCGTAGTTACGCCCTTATGTGAGCCAAGCGACGGAATTATCGATAATGAAACTGAGGAAATGCGTATCTCGGCTTGTGGCGTTGCAGACTTCCTGTCATACTTTATTTTATACATAAAAACTACTGAACGTCATTTTTTGAAAATTTTAGTGATTTTTCTTCTCCTTGTGAAGAATATTTTTTGAGCACGTCAAGCCATGATGTCGGTTTGGTCTCCTTTTAAAAAATAAAATACGAGGGAAGATTTCGATAGAATGCAACCTACTTACGCATTGTCGCTGTTTCATTGTCGATATGGAGGTATTAATGCTAAAAGGAGTTATGTTCATAGGGTTTACGCGCATCATGGTTCCTTTTGGCATAAATGATGGGCTTGGAGGGCAAGGCAGTGCAGTTTTTTTTTTTTTTTTTTTTAAAAAAATTGAGGTATTAATGATTTCAAGTAAACTTTCTAAATGAAACTTCACCTTACCAAACTTTGACTGACCGTCTCATTATAACTGCGATAATCTGAGCCTAGAAGTTATCGCCAAAGATATTATTTATTAATGTCTCTTTCAAAGAGGAGGGTTTGTTTTTGAAACAAACCATTGGGATAGGAGAGCGCAGAATATCTTCTAAAAGGAAGACCAAACATTTCATTTATACTAAAACCCTCTCATTTCCCTTCAGTACAGTAGTGGCAATATTTCCAAAGTTTCATTTTTCTACATTCAACTGCGTTCAGAAATTAAAGGGACGGGAGGGATTTTCGGTGCACCCGGTGTCGAGAAGAACGATGAGGGTCTGTGACATACCTTAACCTGTCTTTCGTGAAAGGCAGGGTGAAGGGATGACAGGAAATGTACAGATATCAACGATTAACCCAGAAATAATGTCAGGCTCATTCACGAGAATTAAAAAAGTGTTAATCAAAAGATCGCCATCAAGATAGGATTATATTAATTACGAGGCCACACGATCAACCCTTTAAATGTTGGGGGTGAATTTCCTACGTTTTTTCCTTACTTCCCTTTTCTTTTTTATCTCCGCGACGAAATAAAAAATCTTGTAGAATCGTTACTGTTAACCCTTTTTCAGTGATGATAAACTCCTACAGAGCAAACGTTTGGCTCAAAATTTGGGGTTGGCTCCTCTGACGTAAGGACGTATCACATTTTCCTTGTGAGCCCTGTGGTTCATATAAAACCATGCTTTTCAGGGCTCATGTGGGAACCGAAATACGCCCTCACGCCAAATAAGCCACGAAAGTGCAATAGCAGAAACAATCTTCAGATCGATGAAAGCGGAACTTTCGCATTACTCTTCGATTTTCATCATAAATTCATCTTTTTGATGAAATTCACATTCTTTAAGTCGGGTAAGGTCCTTTGATTCATTCCCGAAAGCGAATTTTTTGCATGCGTGCTGGTGGTCATGAGTCGGATCCAAAATTTAAATTGAGGGGCTTGCAGGACAAGGTGCAAGTGCAATTTTTGAAAACAAAATGAGATATTAATGATTTCATCTGTAAAACTATCCACACAATCTATTCTGTGAAAAATTCACTACTAAAATCCAAAGATTTAAGTATTAAAAAGCGAGTTTGAACTTTCCTTCCACCACAAGGCTCCATGTAATTTTGAAACTTTAAACTTTTATCTCTAGAAATAGCAAAAACTACACTTATCCTACTTGTACTCCGAGGTCCGAGCCACTCGATTAAGCTTCTTGGCGGGGAGCATTCCTCGGTATCTTCAAGTATTTTTTTTATTTTTCAATCACATTTTATCGAAAAATATAATTTGTTTGATTTTTCAGACGCAACATTCGATGTAACCCTGAACAAAGGCCACGGTGGTCTAGGACTGAGCATCAGCGGAGGGAAGAATAGCGATGACCAATCTTATGGCCTCATATCAATCAAAAAGCTGTTTCCGCATCAAGCTGCCTGGCAGAGTGGCCGACTCCAAGTTGGGGACATCCTCCTTGCAGTCAACGGCGTCCCTTTGACCGGCCTTACCAATTTCGTAAGTTTGCTGTTCACCTTTATTTCCGACTAAGAAAAAAAGAGAAAAGAAAAATAAATTGGACGTATTTATATCAAACAGAACTTTGTGCATTATGGCGTGAGGCCTGTTATACACATATTCTTATGGGTCTCAGGGCTCGTGTCTTAATGCGCATAGTTCCGTCTGGCAGAAATACGTCCAATTAAAACACATAAATAAACGAACAGCATATTGACAGTGAAACAATCAAACTAGGGTAAACTAGAGTCAAAGCGGGTACTCGCATCGTCAAAAATGGACTATCCGTTCGTCCAGCGGCTGATTGTTGAAATTTTTAAACATACCTTTAGACAAAGAACACAGAAGGGATATAGAGGGATCCTTCTGGTGGAAGCGGGTGGTTGCACTGGACAAAGGAGGTAGGTAATAGACTAACTAACGGAAATTCAAGAGAGATCCTATTGTTAGTCCATCATTTATCCCCTTAGTCTATAAGGACCACCCATTTCAACCAATAGGATCGTTCCACAGTCCTTAAGTCTTCTTTGTCCATCAATTTCAATAATCACCCCGCAAATTGTTCAAAATTAAGTATGTTTAAATGGGTGTTGCCATTGCTTTTAGTCTGCTTTTCCTTGAACTTCAGTCAGTTTTTTTTAAGTTTTACCGGTTTAAACAGTATTTTGGATCCGATTTTTGGATTTTCAAAATTTTTGCAATATTATATTATTAGGTTTTCGAGAAACTTACCTCTAAAATCCGCTAAAATCCCTCCAATGCTTACCTTATGGACGTGTTTTCGCGCTTCAAGTCGCGTGACCAATTAGAAAATTGACTATCCACCTCCAATGTTTTTTTATACGGCGATCCCAGAATACATTTCGTGGATAGTTTATTTTTTATTGGTCGATCGCTTCTCCGCGTGCGACGGGAATGCCAGTACCCACTTTGATTCTAGATTGCCCTGCCTCCTATTTCAAACCACGCGATTTTGCAACTATAGCGTATGCAATTCTCATTAATCGACTCGCTATGATTAGAGTACAGCATTTCGCCTTCAATTCACCGTGTAGGCAATACGCATCCTCATTAGTTTAATCAGTGGTTGCACAAGTTGCGAATACCATCGCTCTTTAGTACTTTGCCTAGGAATCGTTTGTTTCTATGGAGCGATCTGAACAATGCTAAGTAAATTTCAAATTTCCGAGGTTGAGTCTTTGATGCAGGATGTGACATCGTATCAAAAACATTCCTGTGAGGATTGTTGCAGAAGCAACAATCCTCGTGAATATTAGTGATGACCTAATACACACTTTACGGTTAAAAACGTCGTCTTTCGGACAGAGGAACGTATCTTCATTTCAAGGTTGCAAAATTGACTCAAATATTCAGATTTATACTCGAATGTACCTGTGCAATATTTTTTCAAACTGATTTTTGAAGGAAAATCAGCGGAATTTTCATTCAGAAATGCCCAATCTTTTCCTGGTAACAGTGGAATGGACCACTAGACAAGGTACGAATTTCAGGTGCTTCTCAACTAAAATTTCACGTAGAACACGATGAACACATAGAAAATTACCGAAATCAACTCCTTATGAAGATATTTATTAATTCTTGATGCGTGAATTCTAACCACCCGCTCATGAAAACTCAATGCTCTACGTGATTCACATCGCGCGCTAAACGGTATCATGAACGTCTTTGCGATAAAAAAATCTGGCAACCTCAATCTTGACGCTTTGGCTGCTATAGCAAATTACTCATAGTTTAAAAACACATGGTGGGAAATGAACATTGCTCGATTGAGAAGCTTGCTGAAACCGTTGTAGTGCGCGATTTGACTCACGTAGAGCTTTGAGTTTCTTGTGAGCGGGCAGTTCAAATTCCTAGTTACCAATGTGAAATAAAAATGTTAATATCTCCGTTAGGAGTTGGTTTCAGTAATTTTCGTTGCGCGAATCGTGTTCTTCGTGAAATTCTGGTTCAGAAACAAGTATTAGGATGCTTAAATTTGTACTTTGTCTAGTGGTCCATTAGCGAGGGAAAATTTAGCAAGCTTGGAATGAAGTTACGTCCTTCCAGAAGGGAACGACGAAACTTCTGTGTCATTGCGTGATTTTTAGGATAACACCAGGTTGAGGAAATAGCTCAAGCGCTCGCGTCAAACAAGAGCGCGTAAAAAGTCACTCCAATATTTTCATCCCCCGCGAGCGAAACCTCCATCTCATGACCCCAGGGACACGAACAACTTACTCGAGCGAGTGAACTCAGCCCCGCAGCGCGCTTCTGTTTAACGTCACCGAAAGCGAACGCGAAATTGGGACGTGCAAATAGCATCAGGAGACGGGAGCTCGTCTCCCGAAAAAAGGAGGGGCTCCGAAAAGCGAAGAAAAAAAGGAGAAGGGAAGAAACGGCGGCCGCCCGGATGGCTATGCAAATAGTCTCTCACCTATTTTCCGGTCGCCCGATCCTGTCGTGCGACCCGCTTAAATTGTATTTCCCCTTTCCGTCACCGCAGTGTAAACAGTATACAACGGGTTCCCACCTCTGTGCTCTGTGTCAAAGGAGAAGGATCGGTCTATGTTGCCGTTCGGGGAGTATCACGGGTTGGTGGTCGGTGTACACTAGAAAAAAAACCACATTGGATCAAGAGTCTTAGACTAGATCTCAGACTCTTAAAAACATCGACAAGATAGAAATCACTATTCCTGACTCATTTGTAGAAGCACCTATCTGCGTAGGAGACTAATGATACATATACGTTGTTTCTTAAATGAGCAAGAAATGACCCACTTTTACAAGAAAGGAACCAAACCACATCTGCTGTTGCCAAATTCAACCGGGCAGTTTAACTTTTTACAAGAGAACGTTCGTGCGGATTCCTTGGAAAATTTCAAGGAATTTGCTTTGTATGGTGTAAAAAATCAACTGAAATTTTCAAAGAAAGAAAAAAAATAAAAAAAAAAATAAATCTATAGGACCATTTTTACATAAAAAATTAAATTTGGCAATAGCTAATGTGGCTTGGTTCCTTCCTGCTTAACGCATTTCAATTAGGGTTCCTTTCCGTGTTTTGTAGCTTGAAATTCATTCACTGGAAAAAAAAAACACTGGATCTAGAGTCCAGACTCTTAAAAACATCGACAAGGAATTATACTCTTGATTTAATCAGATTTAAGCTCAAATCAAGAACCAAGCCTCTTAATTTGAGCGGATTTCCTTTTGATTGAAGCTTAAATCTGATTGAATCAAGAGTCCTTCTTCTTGTCAATGTTTTCAAGAGTCTGGACTCTAGATCCAATGAGGTTTTTTTTCCAGTGTAGGGGGATCTGTAAGACAGTAAAAATTTGGGATATGAGTATTTTCGAAGATTACGAAATAGTGCAAGACAGTAATTACTCAACTCCGAAATTTGATAGCATTATAGCGAAGCAGTCACACCGGTCTATGTTTAGGGATTCAAAATTAAATTTCATGAAACATATCAATATTCATGAAATTTCAACGATATTTTTCAGGAGCTGCGTTTACAGCCTTCAAGAAATTTCTGAGAATGAGATTAGTAACTTTGAAGATCGACTCAGGATATTTTCCCCAGAATTTTTCGTACGGTACCTAGATATGAATGGGCCTTATTTATTGAATGAGCTCCGAGGAACGCAAGGCCAAAAAGTCGACAATTTTCAATTAGAATTGAACTATAATTGAAACTCTTCAATTATAGTTTATCCTGCAAAATAGTGCGGACCCAGCACCATTTTACCGCCTTGTTACACCTTATTCATAGTTCGGGTCACATTTTTTAGCGTTTTTCTCTCATCTTTTATTTAATGATAAAGCAATATAGCAATATGCCCTAGTCTCTTCATGGTTGCGGGTGTGGGGCACTTGTTTGACGAACAACCAACAAAAAGATTAGATTCCTCACTTAGTTTTAAATATTGCTAAACATTTTCTGTTTTTCTTTTCGATCAGGAGGCGCTAGAAGTGTTGCGGAAGTCAACGAATCCTGTGAACTTGACCGTGCGTCGACCGGTCGGTCCACAGAAGTCACCGGAGCCGCTGACCAAAGCGACAGAACAGCGCAAGTCCCCAGAGCCCCACGATCAAAACAATTCCACGCTCAACAAATCAAACACTAGTTCGTCCAGCCCTCCGCCATCCCTCCCGCCTTCGTTCTTGGAGGATGGCCCTTCGGTAAGTTCAACCTCTGAATTAAATTGCACTATGTCATTTTAAGTCCTCGCATTAAGGGGCCGTCCCTGAAGTACGTAACGCTCCAGGGGGAGGGGGAGGTCGAGGAGAGCGTAACGCCATGCGCCATTTCGTTTTTAAATGTTCAAGAATAGGAATTTATGTCACATAAGCGTTGCTAAGGAAAAGGGGGGTCGAAAATGCCGAAAAAGCGCGTCACATAATTTAGGGACGGCTCCCAAAGACCACCGCGAACTTCCGAAGCCGAACGAGCTTTCCGAAAGGCCAATCATAAGATTTTTTACTAAAATGGCCAATTTTGATGTTATTTTCCTCAAAATATACTGTTTGCTGCGCTCTTTGGAGGAAATTTTACGATAAAATCAAGGAAACCACTACTAAAACATCCACGTTTTGTATTAACATTGATATGAGCTTTCAATGTCTTCGTTTTTTGTCCGACTCCACTCATTGACTCGTTATACTAAGCGCCGCTGGTGAGACGGTTAGTGTCCGAGATTAAAACGCCTTCATTTCCGAGCGTATGCAACACGGACATTCATGAGGCTTATATAGTTGCATCCAGGCGCCATTATGAAGTTCGTGTAGTATATCCATCGCATGAAATCGCGAATGAAATTCTCTGAGAAGTTGGAGCCACTTTTTAAAAGTTTGCCAGAAAATTAAGTGTTTTAACGAAAAAAATTGGCAAATCGAAGGTTCGTGCGATACTTTTCTTAGACGGTAGTGTAAAACGAAAAATAATACTACTAATAGCCTTAAAAAGAATCCCGTTTGGCTACCGCAAATTCTTTCAGGATCAACCGGACTTTCCGTCATCGTAAGTAAAATTCTGTCGCGGAAAACTTATACAGGACTCTCTCTACCATCGAAAGAAATAAAGCGTCACAGGCTCAGAACATTCGTTCGTGATTACCTCATATTTGCGAGGTATTGGTGGCAAAAACGCGATTCATTTCAATGTACACGCACGAGAAGACAGAAGGCCCGCGCCGTGTGTTTATAGTGTAGAATGCGTGCTCAATATCTGGCTTTATTGGGCGTAAATTCGCTACAAAAGGGACGGAATAGGCCCCTTCGTCGGATCCTTAAATTTCGCGCGCAGCTTGACTGCCGAACATCAAGAACCGAACGAGTTCATCATAAACAAGGAACGCCGGGAAAATTGCCACTATCACAACAAAATCCGAGCTACCCTCGTTGCCAAACCCAGCAGGAATGTCCACCGAAAAATTAGGCGAGGGAAAAACCTCTTATGAAAATTCCAGGGTTGTCGAATTTCCCCCGATTAAATGAGGCGTCTAGAAAAAAAACCCAGCAATCTCCATTGTCTTATCTAGAAATTGTGCAATCATGTTAATCTTCTGCGAGGAGCAACCAAAACTTCTATCTGTTGTTAACATTTTTCCAAATACCCTCGCTTGATAACAGAATTCACATGAAAACGTGAACATGGAAACCTTCTCGTTCTTTCAATATTAAAGTTATAATGATCGCACGATTTATAGGCAGGACAATGGAGATTACCGATTTTGGTTCTTGACACCTTAAATATTTGTGTATGAGAAAATTTATATCGATAGTGAAACTATCAGGTCACGTATCTCGTTTGCGGTGTTCGATAATCTTCTCTCCCATTTCATTTATTTGGAGGGAGGACAAATCAGTATCATTTTTTCAGATTTTCACGGAGTTTTCTTCGCACTGCATAGAGGAAAAGACACAGAAGTTTTTGAGAATTGAAGTTGAGTGGTTTTCCATTCAAGAAATTAGGTATGACAGGAAATCTACAACGTCGTAAACCGAGATACATGATCTGGTAGTTTCACCTTTGATATGTTTTATATTTCAGTTTTTGACGACTGACCTGTCGAATAGTTACCTACAAATTATTATCAATTGTATTCATTTTACACGTGCCTTACACGGTAATGGCTCGACAAATGGAGCTTATGCCCTAGTCAAAGGAATAAGAAAAATAAACAGAAGAGGAGAAAATTTTAAAATATTTTTCCCGTAAAATTTTCAGGCACTCCAAATCAAATCACAAGTATAATTTTTTGTAGAATTGGAAGGAAAATACTTTAGCTTCCCCCAAAAAACCGTATTTGCGGTAGGAAATTGTTCAACATTTGAAGGTGCATATGGCGTTCTTCATTAGCTCGGTAGTCAAAACTGTGCATCAGAGACGACACGACAACATTGTGCGGAACTTTAGGGTGCTTTGTAGCATACTTGCCAGTTCCATCGAATAATTACTGGTTTTTGGTGATAGATTGACGCCCCGCCGCGCGGGCTGGCGATAACGTCGGCGTGAGGGCGAAAAACGAATTACTTGTTTGCGATTGGCGTGTTTTGCATATTGCCTACGTCTAGGCGTAAAAATCTCGCTCGCGCATTCGGGAGATATTGCGAATGGCCCCGCTTATGGGGCTTCCGCATCAATAGCGTTCGCTCGCGTTTTATGCGTTCTTTACCTCTCCCCTTCCCTCTCTCCCGGACGGGATTTGTTTTAATAACGTCAAAAATCTCGAACTTAACGGGTTTTGCAAGGGAACTTTCTTTCTGCCATGTGATGTCGCAAATTTATACATTCTGTAAAGAGATTTATTTATTTCAATTTGTCGGTAATCTCGCGAAAGAAAGTAATTACATTTCAATTTTACCAGATTTTTTCGCGCCAATTGCATTTTTATCAGGAGGATTTCTCTCATTTTTTTCTATATTTCCTTTTGATCTTATGCGGAAATCAGACAATTTTTTGATGAAAATTCTGCAATATTCTCGTAAAAAATCGACTTGCCTGGGTCAAAATTGCAACCATGGAATGGCGTTACGTTCCTTTGTGCGAGAAACGACGAATTGTGACCGAAGAACATAGAAGTTACCTTGGAAGTCAATTTTTCAGAACGATTTCCGGCAAGTTGGGTCAAAAATTCGCTTTTCGAACTTTTGACAGAAAACTTTTCAACGCCTTGAAGAATGTTATGAGCAGCAAAAATGGGTTTCTAGAGGATGTTAGCAAGATTTTCTAGAAGAAATCGAGTTTAGAATAGAATGATCTCATGATGATCATCAGTCATGAATGGAGCTCTTTCAGCGACAGTAAAACATAGCAGAAAATACGCAACGGCGTAAACTGAGACACGAGGTCTCGTAATTATTTTAAAATTGGTTTGCTCCACTGTAATTCAACTTGTTTTATGACGGAAATTATTGGCTTGTGGCAGGAGTTCGAGATAACTTTGAAGAAAGTCAATGGAAGTCTTGGATTTACGTTACGGAAGGAGGAAGGGAGTTTAGGCCATTATGTTCGAGCACTAGTCAAGGAGCCTGCTCTGTCCGATGGCCGAATTCATCCTGGGGACAGAATCGTCTCGGTGAGTATCTCCTTAAGTTCTATATTTGATTTTGTTAATTATTCCTTGATTAGGATCAAATGGACTACATTTTGCAATTAGGAACTACAGTTTCTGGCTCATCTGTAAAAACACTTAGGTATATGCATGGAGAAACCAATGGGACATACGTTGTCTTTGAACTGAGAAGGGAATTATAGTTCCAAATTGCAAAATGTGGTCCAAATTATTCCCTGCGCCTTGGAGGTCGAAATCAGTATGGATGTGAATACGCGCTATGATTGATTCGGACCTGCGCCCGATCGGGAAAAAGACTAAGTTCATTTGAACAAACTCCAGTACCTATTGAAGCCCCGGTAAAAAAGACTCCTGAAAATCTTTTTTCAAAACTTCTCTAAAAAAAACACTTTTCCAGGAAACCCTTTTTGGATACTTGAAAGAAATATTTGCGTAAAAAATCCTAAATAAACTAATATTTTTTAAAAGTTTTTCAGCATGGTTTCTTAAAACATTCTGAGAGCTCAAAAACTGGCAGAATTTTTTACGTGATTCTTTCATCAACACTTTTTTATCTTTGAATCCTAAATATTGTATTATGAATTTTACTGAAAAAACCCAACAATTATTTCCTGGCATAAATTTTACGGTTATTTAAAAGTCGTCCTTTTAACATTTACATTTACAATTTTAATTTTTATTTTTCACTCTGAATCCACTCTATGATTTAAAATGTAATCCATTTATTACATTTCTCGGCGCAAGAGTCAAACTGGTAATCATGTGGAAGTTGAATAAATCAAAATTTCCATTTATAATATGACCCCAATTATCTATGAACCCAATGAGTCATTACTTATCGAAACTCCAAAGGCATGAATTTTTCCCAAAAACCACCGAAATCCCTGGCAGAGGAATAATTAACAAACTTCGGCCCAGCCTATAAGTTATGTGCGCTGTGAACTTCTGAAAGAGGAGTGGGCCATTATAGGCAATAACGTATTTGGACCATAACTTATCAAAAGCCTCTGTTTCCCGAGAGTGCCATTTTTCCACATCGGCCGTGTTTCATTCAGCCTCCACCTGAGGTTGACCAAGTTTCGATGGAGTTGGCTTGGGGTCCTTAACGAAGGATTTTCACGAATGAGTTACCCTTAGTCACAAGTTTTCGGCCCGATATTCACTAGGGAGTCAATTCCTTCACCCCTGGATGTGTAAGACAAAATGGGGGAATTGGAGAAGTAACTAATACAGGAATCTGAAAACGGCGCGGGGCAAATTGGGACTCGATTGGACGTATTTAAATCAAAAGGAACTGTGTCCATTCTGCCGTGCTAAGGAAAATCGCCGTATGAGCCTTTAGACATTGCCAAGTTTCCTTCGATATAAACCGAATTTACTGGTAAAATTTTGAATATTTTTTTCCAAAATGTTCGGACAATATTTTACGCAATTTAATCTAAAATAACTGAAAATTTCGAGGAAAAATATATGCATGAATGTCGTTAAAAATACATGTTTTATTAAGAGGAATTTGGCAACTCTCAAATGTTCATACGGCGTTTTTCCTTAGCACGGCAGCATTCTGACATAAGCCCTGAGATCCATAAGTATACTTGTATATCCGGGCTCGTGTCACAATAGACATGGATCCTTTGGATTTAAAAACGTCCAATTCTGAAACTGAAAAACAAAATCCAAATCTACGCTTGCACTGTCTTATTATTAGTTAGACCAAAATTCGCTGTGTAATAGAATTTTCTCTCTACTACTCGTGTTGACTATAGATGATTTTATTTCTAAATGTGAAGGCTCTCGAATGCAAATTTTAAAGAGTGAACGATTTTCGTCAAGTTGCGTTAAACATTCGGCGCTTAGTTTTCAGGTTGAAAACTTTCTCAGGCATTCCTCAGAATAAGTTAGTAAGTAAGTAGAAAATAAGTAAGTTTTAAAAGTAAGTTCTGAGTGGTTTATTTCATTTTTTTTGCCAACGAAGGACGTACTTTTGATATTGGATTTGACAATTTCATGACCCCAAGACTAAAAACATGCAAAAGTGAAAAAAGTTGCATTATTGAAACATTATGGACGACGCTCGTGAAAGAATCATTCTAAAAGGGCTACCCGAAGGGCTGAAAGGGGGATGCCTCCTCGAATAGTTCCTTTAATGATATCACACTGAAATATCCTATCGGAGGGGCTGCAAACGGGTAAGGAGCCTTGAAAATTCTCCACCTACGTCACCGCATGACGTCACTCCCAAAAAGCCCGCAGAGAAGTTTAAAGTCAAGATGCAGCCAAAAATAAAAACCGCTCATCTAGGTCACGCCGTCAATCTTCAATCCCGGCGCATTTCGGAATTTCAAAGCCCGCGCCACTGGAAAGCCCCCCCCCCCCCCCCCGCAAAGNCCACTGGAAAGCCCCCCCCCCCCTCCCCCGCAAAGACCCGTTAATGTCTCAAACCTCGCGGGTAGGGCCATAAATCAAAACCGCGCGCCTTTTCATAACTGCCGCGGAGGGTGGCAGCACCTACAGCGCTCCCCCGGCCGAGCCAGGAACATTTGTGTATTATGTTTATTGTTTTTCAAATCGGCACCCCCCCCCCCCCCCCCCCCC